ATCCACCCCGATGGACAGGCATTCAGCAGAGGCAGTGACTGGGCTCCAGGTCATAGGAGGCCCTGATGCCACAGCGAGGGCAGGGGACAGTGCTGAACACAACAATCTTGGGCTGCCTTAAGTCCCTCAGTGTCTTCATCAGCTCAGCCCCAAGTTGAGCAAATCTCCCCCAGCAGAGAGCACCCTGGGCATCATAACTCTCCAGAGGGGCAGGTACAGCTCCAGGCTCAGCTTCCTCAGCCCAACGGTGTGGCGCAGCAGGTTCTCCAGGGCGGCCATGGAGATGAGGTTCCCACAGAAGCTGAAGGTGCTGAGCTGGGAGCAGCGGCTCAGGGCAGGCAGGATGACGCTGAGTTGGGAGTCCGTGATCCCACAGTCCTCTAAGTCCAGGGTCTGCAGGGTGGCCTCAACTTGCTCTAGCAGAACGGCGAGGGGCTCAGGGCTGAAATGGGTCAGTGTGATGCCCCTCAGGTCCAGCTCCTTTAGCTGACGGATGCTCGGGCACCAAGAGAGATGCTTCAAGTCCGACTCTGACAGCAGGCAGTCGGTCATGACGACCATCTCCAAGGGGGCCTGGAGACACCTGGGAGAGAACAAGAAGGAGTTAGAGGAGAGTGGTGGGAAGACCTCAGGTGAGAGATGACAGTCTCCACAATCCAAGGCTGCTCTGCTCATCCGAGGATAGTCAGCGCCTGGGGTGTGGGAACGGAGACTCTGCTCCTTCCGGACAGTCCCAATTGAGGCTCAGTCCTTCACCATCACTCAGGTGACTGGGTCAAGCCCATGAACTCTAAGGCTCCCTTTCTTCATCTGTCAGGCAGAAAACCGCATCTCTGGGCCACAGGAGCACCGTGGAGACACAGACATAAAGAACAACCCAAGTGGGATCCTGCAACATCAGCTGGGGTGGCCAGGCTGCAGGAGTCCCTGACACGCCTGTATCATCAGCAAACCGTCTATCCTTTCTCCCTTCTTCACTCCTGCTCCCTCACCCTCTATTCCATCATCATGTATTTCCCATACATTAGTTACCTGACTTGGAACTCAAAACATTTTGCTGACAGAGGGAGAGACAGGATTTTGCCTGTTCACTAGGCAGGTGAGGACAGACCTTATATTTTAAAATAGAGGGGTGTGAAGGACTTTCCCTTCTTTAGTGCCCTCTTCACCTCCCTATTTCCCATCATCTTAACTTAGACACACATCCTCGGGAGGAATTCACAAATGCACTCTCACTAGATCTGAACCCGCAGTTGCTAGCATCCTAGCAAGGCAGCCTCTCTATAGCATCTAGCCAAGCCCAGGAGATCCCGCTGGCTTATTGGGATGGTTGTGGGACACCCATTTTAGGACAGAGCTGCCAACAAGACAATGCATGGACATTCTAGTGTCCCCTTCACTGTGACCTCATCACAAGCTGGCTCATAGTAGATACCCCCTGGTGTTTACTGTAACAGAGAAAGGCTCTGCTGTGGACTGCACAGAAAGCTCACCATCCTTCCTCACCCGAGCAGCTGGTCCAGGTGGCCTTCGAGGAAAGAGACAGAGTGCATGGAAAGCTTCTGGAAGTAGTCCAGCTTGAGGAACTGAGAGGTGAACTGGGTGACAAACTGCTCCTTCTTGTCTGGGGGAATGCAGGCAGAGACGTGGATGTTGAAGAGAACAAGTTTGCGGAGATTCCTCATCTGGCCCAGGTAAGGGGCGAACCTTATAAGAATGGACAGCTCCCAGGGGCAGCACACTTCCACCTCCCGGATACAGTCTAGTTCCACCATGTTCAGGACCTCTATGATACTGTGGATGGGCATTCCAAAAATCTGCAGCTCCTTGCAACACACATGAAGTAAGCCTTTTCTCTGCTTGCCCCACTCGAAGAAGCGGGTGAGGCATTCATCCAGCGTCCCATTCTTGAAGCAAAGGTCTAGGGTCACCATCAAGGGCTGCTGCCCACCCAGCCTTGGACAGTTCTCTGCTGTTTGTCTCTTACTCAGAGCCTCTGGGGAGGGTGCAGAAGCTCCAGACCATATGCCCCAGAAGTTCTCATCCACATCCCGCAAGTCCAGCACTTGAAGTTTCCACCGCCTGTGGGTAAAAGAGAAGAGAGGCTCCAAATTTACTCAAGGATTTGAGCTTTTGTCCACATCCCAGACATCAGTGACTCCCCTCCCTGCTTCTTCCCCACTCTCTGTCTTTTCTCCATCCCTCTTGCTTCTTGAAACCTGCCTGGTCCCCACTGCTAGTGTCTTCAGTTGCCACTGGGAGAAACCTGGTTCCTGATCCTTCAGTGGACCCTGCATGGTGAGCAGTCTTTTCCCAGAGGAGCTGGACAATGGCCAAGGCCTCTCTGAGCTTCCCCCCCAGCCGCATCAGAAGACTCTGGGCCACCCTTGGGCCTCCCAATCCTTCTGATCCAGCCAGCCCTACCCTGGGGGATGTCTGGGCCCTCCCCACCTGGCCAGCTGGGTCACCTCACCTGGGACGAACCTTCTGGGCAAGCAGTGCATCAAGCCCCTCCAGCACAGCTCCAAAGGTCTCCAGAGGACGCGACTTCATCAGGGACCCTAGAGGAAGGCAGGTGAAGGGCCAGGCCTGCACCATAGTTTTCAGGGTCTCGCAGCATCTCCTGGTAAAGGCCTCTATGAACAGAGAGGGAAAGACCTCCCTGGGCAGCTCCTCCAGGGTGGGGATGGCCAAGGCTCCATCCCTCAGCAGACTCTGCTCAGCCAACTCCCGGAGTCTGGGTGGGGCCTGGAGGCTCATGCTGATGAATCTACGTGGAAAACTTTCAGAGAAAGAGCATGATTTTTATGGCAAATCACATTACTTCATCATCTCCTAGTGCCAATGCCATTGCTCTGGTAGAGGTGGAAAGGTAATTAGTTCACCCCAGTTCCGCTCTGCACTTTCTGGACACAAATCCGTAATTCTGCTCCTGCTGGTACCATGAAGATTGTCTTCCAAACAATGAAGAGGGGGCAAGGTGACCACTGGCCCATTCATTTTCAACCATTGCTGCACTAAATCTCAGTAACACTGGGAAGCGTTGCTGAGGATCCTGAAAGCTAAGCTCCACCTTTTCAAGAAAATGTTTGTCACTTACCACCCTAAAACAATGGAATGAGAATGTCCTGTGGCCCCACACAGCCTACATTCTCAGTTCCCACAGTGAACATGGTTGCAGAAGACTAAAGGGACTGCTTGGAATCAGTGCCATTATTTTTTTATTTTGAAAAATTATAACAAGAAAGTGAAAGCACCGTGACAGTATTCTCGAGCCTGTGGAAGTTAGGGATAAAAACCCTAACTCTCAGATGAAGGTTCCAATGTTGATCTCTTACACAGACTCACAATGACCCACTTTAGGATGGAATCTAGGGGGAAAAAAATTGATCCCATGTTCAGAACAAAGACTCCACTCTTGAGAATGGTCTATGGAATATTTAAAGTTTTAGTAAAAATGAGAGCCTAACATGTAAAATCACAATGCCATCAAGTCTGTGAACTATAATTTAAGGGCACAAAAGCCAATAATTTCAAATGTCATGAAATAGAAATTCAACCAGTTGTAAGTTTTTAATATCTTTTGTTTTAAAGAAACTGCTTGGATACAAAATTTGAAATGACAAAAACCAAGGACAAATCAAATTTTGGGGGATGAAGACAAAACTACATTTAGAGGAAAAATCACAGCCTAAATCTGTTCATCTGAAAACAGATAAGGAAGTTCTCTCTGCCACCTTGGGCTGCTTGTCACCGTCCCTGACTGGCTGGCTGCAGATCAGATGGACATGAACCTAAGGAGGGGGTGACTTACCAGAGCTGGACTCACTTTGCAGGGTGCTGCAACCTCTCAGAGAACCAAGCAGTACTCCAGGTGCCAGGGCTTCGGGTCTCTTCTGTGCACCTGTGGGAGCTTTTATGGACCTTTCTAACCACACCTTCCCCTTATCAACAACCAGCTTCCAATCAGAAAATGATGTCTGATTAGATTCCGAAGTTCCATCCAGTTAATCCTGATTGAGTTTGCGACTTTCTTCTGATTAACTGATTGAATCAGATATACATTTATGAAAGTGAAAGTATAAATAATAGGGTGAAAGTCCACAACTCATTATTCCTTTATTCCACAAACACTGATGGAGTTTGACTAACATGAGAGCTTCATAGTGATGCAGGAAAGAGTTGAATCTGTTTCTGGCATTTGACAGAAAAAACAAACCAGAAGGTATGAACTTTACAGTAGATTTTTCCAATTCTGTGAAGAAAGTCATTGGTAGCTTGATGGGGATGGCATTGAATCTATAAATTACCTTGGGTGGTATGGCCATTTTCACGATATTAATTCTTCCTATCCATGAGCATGGAATGTTCTTCCATTTGTTTGTGTCCTCTTTTATGTATTTGAGCAGTGGTTTGTAGTTCTCCTTGAAGAGGTCCTTCACATCCCTTGTATGTTGGATTCCTAGGTATTTTATTCTCTTTGAAGCAATTGTGAATGGGAGTTGACTCATGATTTGGCTCTCTGTTTGTCTGTTATTGGTGTATAAGAATGCTTGTGATTTTTGCACATTGATTTTGTATCCTGAGACTTTGCTGAAGTCGCTTATCAGCTTAAGGAGATTTTGGGCTGAGATGATGGGGTTTTCTAAATAAACAATCATGTCATCTGCAAACAGGGACAATCTGACTTCCTGTTTTCCTAATTGAATACCCTAACTGAATACCCTAAATTTACATTTGCTAAGTTACATCTTGCTTAGTTATTTCTTTCTCCTGCCTGATTGCCCTAGCCAGAACTTCCAACACTACATTGAATAGGAGTTGTGAGAGAGGGCATTCCTGTCTCGTGCCAGTTTTCAAAGGGAATGCTTCCAGTTTTTGCCCATTCAGTATGATATTGGCTGTGTGTTTGTCATAAATAGCTCTTACTATTTTGAGATATGTCCCATCAATACCGAATTTATTGAGAGTTTTTAGTGTGAAGGGCTGTTGAACTTTGTCAAATGCCTTTCTGCATCTATTGAGATCATCATGTGGTTTTTGTCTTTGGTTCTGTTTATATGCTGGATTACGTTTATTGATTTGCATATGTGGAACCAGCCATGCATCCCAGGGATGAAGCCAACTTGATCATGGTAGATAAGTTTTTTGATGTGCTGCTGGATTCGGTTTGCCAGTATTTTATGGAGGATTTTTGCATCGATGTTCATCACGGATATTGGTCTAAAATTATCTCTCTTTTTTTGGTGTTGTGTCTCTGCCAGGCGTTGGTGTCAGAATGATGCTGGCCAGATTCCCTCTTTTCCTATTGATGGGAATAGTTTCAGAAAGAATGGTACCAGCTCCTTCTTATACCTTTTGTAGAATTCGGCTGTGAATCCATCTGGTACTGGACTTTTTTGGTTGGTAGGCTCTTAATTATTGCCTCAATTTCAGAGCCTGTTATTGGTCTATTCAGGGATTCAACTTCTTCCTGGTTTAGTCTTTGGAAGGTGTATGTGTCCAGGAATTTATCCATTTCTTCCAGATTTTCTAGTATATTTGTGTAGAGGTCTTTATAGTATTCCCTGATGCTAGTTTGCATTTCTGTGGGATGGGTGGTGATATCCCCTTTATCACTTTTTATTGTGTCTATTTGATTCTTCTCTCTTTTCTTCTTTATTCGTCTTGCTAGTGGTCTATCAATTTTGTTGATCTTTTCAAAAAACCAGCTCCTGGATTCATTGATTTTTTGAAGGGTTTTTTGTGTCTCTATCTCCTTCGGTTCTGCTCTAATCTTAGTTATTTCTTGCCTTCTGCTAGGTTTTAATGTGTTCCCTCTTGCTTCTCTAGTTCTTTTAATTGTCATGTTAGGATGTCAATTTTAGATCTTTCCTGCTTTCTCTTGTGGGCATTTAGTGCTATAAATTTCCCTCTACACACTTCTTTAAATGTGTCCCAGAAATTCTGGTATGTTGTATCTTTGTTCTCATTGGTTTCAAAGAACATCTTTATTTCTGCCTTCATTACATTATGTACCCAATAGTCATTCAGGAGGAGGTTGTTCAGTTTCCATGTAGTTGAGCAGTTTTGAGTGAGTTTCTTAATCCTGAGTTCTAGTTTGAAGAATGTATATTCTGTTGATTTGGGGTGGAGAGTTCTGTAGATGTCTATTAGGTCCACTTGGTGCAGAACTGAGTTCAATTTCTGGATATCCTTGTTAACTTCCTGTCTCGTTGATCTATCTAATGTTGACAGTGGTGTGTTAAAGTCTCCCAGTATTATTGTGTGGGAGTCTGAGTCTCTTTCTATTATTGTGTGGGAGTCTGACTCCTTGTGGGAGTCAAGGTCTCTAAGGACTTGCTTTATGAATCTGGGTGCTCCTGTATTGGGTGCATATATATTTAGGATAGTTAGCTCTTCTTGTTGAATTGATCCCTTTACCATGATGTAATGGTCTTGTCTCTTTTGATCTTTGTTGGTTAGAAGTCTGTTTTATCAGAGATTAGGACTGCAACCCCTGCCTTTTGTTTTGTTTTCTTTTCCATTTCTTGGTAGATCTTCCTCCATCCCTTTATTTTGAGCCTATGTGTGTCTCTGCACATGAGATGGGTCTCCTGAATACAGCACACTGATGGGTCTTGACTCTTTATCCAATTTGCCAGTCTGTGTCTTTTAATTGGAGCATTTATCCCATTTACATTTAATATTGCTATGTGTGAACTTAATCCTGTCATTATGATGTTAGCTGGTTATTTTGCTCATTAGTTGATGCAGTTTCTTCCCAGCATCGATGGTCTTTACAGTTTGGCATGCTTTTGTAGTGGCTGGTACTGGTTCTTCCTTTCCATGTTTAGTGCTTCCTTCAGGAGCTCTTGTAGAGCAGGCCTGGTGATGACAAAATCTCTCAGCATTTGCTTGTCTATAAAGGATTTTATTTCTCCTTCACTTATAAAGCTTAGTTTGGATGGATATGAAATTCTGGGTTGAAAATTCTTTTCTTTTCTTTTTTTTTGAGACGGAGTCTCGCTCTGTCACCCAGGCTGGAGTGCAGTGGCCGGATCTCAGTTCACTGCAAGCTCCGCCTCCTGGGTTTACGCCATTCTCCTGCCTCAGCCTCCCGAGTAGCTGGTACTACAGGCGCCCGCCACCTCGCCCGGCTAGTTTTTTGTATTTTTTAGTAGAGACGGGGTTTCACCAGGTTAGCCAGGATGGTCTCGATCTCCTGACCTCGTGATCCACCCGACTCGGCCTCCCAAAGTGCTAGGATTACAGGCTTGAGCCACCGCGCCCGGCCTGAAAATTCTTTTCTTTAAGAATGTTGAATATTTGCCCCCACTCTCTTCTGGCTTGTAGAGTTTCTGTGGACAGATCCTCTGTTAGTATGATGGGCTTCCCTTTGTGGGTAACCCGACCTTTCTCTCTGGCTGCCCTTAACACTTTTTCCTTCATTTCAACTTTAGTGAATCTGACAATTATGTGTCTTGGAGTTGCTCTTCTCGAGGAGTATCTTTGTGGCATTCTCTGTATTTCCTGAATTTGAATGTTGGCTTGCCTTGCTAGGTTGGGGAAGTTCTCGTGGATTATATCCTACAGTGTGTTTTCCAACTTGGTTCCACTCTCCCCGTCACTTTCAGGTACACCAATCAGACGTAGATTTGGTCTTTTCACATAGTCCCATATTTCTTGGAGGCTTTGTTCGTTTCATTTTACTCTTTTTTCTCAAGACTTCTCTTCCCGCTTCACTTCATTGATTTGATCTTCAATCACTGATACCCTTTGTTCCAGTTGATCCAATTGGCTACTTGAAGGGGTGGCCTGCCCTTCCACACCTGTGGGTGTTTCTCGTCAGGTAGAATGAGAGACTGAGAAAAGAAATAAGACACAGAGACAAAGTATAGGGAAAGAAAAGTGGGCCTGGGGGACCAGCCCTTAGCATAAGGAGGACCTGTGCTGGCACTGGTCTCTGAGTTCCTTCAGTATTTATTGATCATTGTCTTTACCATCTCAGAGAGGGGGATGTTTCAGGACAACAGGGTAATAGTGGGGAGAGGATCAGCAGGAAAACATGTGAACAATGGTCTCTGTGTCATAAATAAGTTTAAGGAAAGGTGCTGTGCCTTGATATGCACATATAG